ATAAGTGGCCCACCCTGTATATTAAACATTTTAGCTAACCATCTACCTACCTACATCAAGAACTTCGTAGCATTACCTTTGCTTTATTTCCTAAGTTTTATAAAACAAACAAACTACTAAGTAACTTAAAACACTGTAATGAACGGACTCACTGACTTTTTTCTTCCTTTTGTGCTCCTTCCATCTTCTGACCCCCACAGCTGCAAAATGGCGTCAAAGTTAGCTAGCAGTTTTCAAACGGTTGTGAAGTTGCTGCCAATGTTATCAAAGTTCCATTTTTTTACTTTAAACCTCCCAATTAAAATTAAACACTGGGGAAACGGCTAGTAATTTTGGAAAAGTCTTCATTTATCTAAGCATTTAAAAACTTATATCAGTTAAAGTCGCAGAGAACGTGATACCTTAATTAGCTACCTTTGAGGGGAGGAGGATTTGACTGAAAATTTAAGTAAGATTTTAAGATAGGAAGTCGAAATTTCGAGTTAAGTATCACGAAATTTTGGATTTAGTCATAAGTAATACATATTTTTGAAACTATAAGTTGAACATTTAAAGTTATGCATCTCAGAATTTGTTCACACATCTAGAAATTTTCCATTACTTCTGATTTTTTTTAAAAAATGTATGGAAGAGGATTAGGGCCACTGGGGGCACGTCTTTTTTATTTATTTTCCAAAATTCGGAGAAAAGTCTCAGAATTTTGGAAAAGAAACCCCCCCTCCCTCCCCTAGTGGCTCTAATCCTCTTCCGTAAAAATGAGAGAAGTAACTCAAAAGTTTTAATTTTTTTTAAAATGTAAAGCTAATAACCCCAAATTTTTATGGAACGTAAAATTTGGAGTTACATCTCAACATTTCTTTCAAGTTATTAATTAAAATTTTTAGGATAACCTGAAATTTTGCTTTAGGTCTTCCTGACTATTTGTTATTTATTTCCCCCCCAGTGGTAAAAACAAGCTTCCTCTGATTTATTATAACACTGTGTAATAATATATAATAATATATATATACTATAATATATATACACACACTTCCTAAACTTATATCAGAAAATCACTATCAATCCACCCATTTTAGATGACACACAAAACCATTTAATCCCACTTCCATTTGCAGCCATAAAAAACTCATTGTCTTATTCAACTTGAAATTATAGTCATATTTTATTACAATATTAGAATTTGTACACATTGCCCTCTCCATCCTCTTTCATTTATAAATTTATTACATAAATATAATCAAAAAATGCAAAATAACGAAGGCAAATTTAACATGAATTCAAAAACAAAAAGTGTCACCTGACTCTGCGATAGAAACTCGAGGAATGTATTTTTCATATATATATTTTTTAAACAAAGATCAAACAAGTCAGAGTAGAGTCATCTAATCTATTTTTTTTTTCAAAAAAGAAGCTCTGCAACATTAAAAAAACAGGTCAAGAGACTCATGTTCACTCATTGTTTTTGATCATTACTCATGGGCTGTAATGGTGTTGCTAAGTTATTGCAAAAATAAAAAAAAAAAAATCTCACTTTTGAAGACCAATCCAAAGAAAAAATATTGGGATTATTAAATTTATCATTGGCTGTAAGATAAATGTAAAGGTTAGTACTCACCCAACATAGGAGCTCCCTTTAAAAAAAAGCTAAAAAAAAAATCTAAATCTAAAAAAAAAACTTCTATTATCACCCCCAACAGCTGGTCAGTTTATGATCATCAAACAGATCTGCAATCTGAGTAATCTTCACAAAACTCATGCAAAAATAAAAATCACTGCATGACCTTTAATGCACCCCTGCCCTTTGACGCTCATCTCATGCAAATCTAGGGTCTTGTATTTTTCAACAACCTTTTGTGACTTTGCTACTTTTGGGAATTCTCCACGCGGTTTTTAAAGACTTCTCTACCAGATTTAAAGATACATCGCATCTCGAATGTTGACAATGACAATCAGTGAGTTTGCTTGTGAGCTAACACTGGCCAACCCTGTGACGTCGGGCATCAGATGTGACAACTATAATTGTGAACATGCAGACACTGAACAAACCAAATGAACAAAAATCTAAAAAACCCTTAAACCAAATTAACCAACAGGAACCTCCGTCATCCACATAGTCGAGCAGTGTAACATTAAATACAGCATGTAAAAAACAAAAACAGTAGGAAAAAATGTGTATTATAGAAAATTATATTATTACAGTATATATATATATGTATATGTGTGTGTGTGTCTGTTGACCTGTAAAGATTTTTAAAAAATAAACCAGAAAAACACCCAGAAAAGTGTAAGCTTTGATGTAAACTTGTAAAAACAACCCTGTGATCATGTGGCTAAAGAAAAAGCTCTGATATGTGAATTAACCCCCAACCTTTCATTCATTCAAGCGAACATCACGAGAGCCGTTTTAAACAGCAGACAGGGAGAGTTGGGTGTTTCTCAGCGGTGCTGCCGTAAATGTCAGAGATTCTGGAGAGGATAAAGGGAGTCGCTAAGCTGCAAACGTCTTACCACCTCCTCGCCGGGTCCTTGATCCACGTATAACATGCTGCTGATGAGGCTGAGAGGTGGCTTGGGATGTCAATATCCAAGAGTGGAATAAAGGTTTGTTTGGGGTGGAGTGGGGAGTTTTTCTTTTTTTATTATTAAATCCCAGTGAGAGCAACACATGTACACAGTGTGACTGGGTTCTTGTTTCTCAATAGCCGTCCTTCTGAGTGATCATATGATCCTGGATCCTCTGCAGCATCTCCTGCATCCGCCGCAGCTGGGAGAAGAGAGCAGAGAGAGGAGACAGGTGTTAGTGTGATACGTTTGAATGCGACGCATCCACTTTCATAGCGGTGTGAAGTCTATGGGGGATTTCATCGAAGCTATTCATTTACGCACGGCTGCACAGGCAACAAATCAATAAACGCCTGGGAGATGGGCCTGTTCTCCCCAAACCACGTGACATGTGCTGAATGGCAGCAGGGAAACAAGGCTCCCTCCATCTGCTGCTTCACTCTGGACTACAGAGTATCTGTTATTACAGAAGCAGCACTTTAGGATATTAAAATCACTAGTATCAGTCAGCTACTCAATCACCTAATCATGTTGAGTGAGTTCCCCCCATCCCCCCCATCAGATTTGTTGGAAATAAGCAGGTAACACAGGTGTTATACAGCTCCTGTTCACCTGGAGATGTTTGTCCAGCTGCTGCTGTGTGTGGGTTGGCTATAACACCCGTGGGCAAAGATGTATATTGAGCTAATTTGGTGTTACTGCATTGCTTCATGTTGATCAGACAGAAAATGTAAAATAAACAAATGAGGGAAAAAATAAGACTCTTTATTTAATGAAATAAATAGATTTTGCACGGTCTGGTGTTGCAGAGGGAAGGGGCTGGTATTGACATAGCTTATTTAACTCATTATGATTGCAGGACAACATTGAAAGCATATACAGCAGTCTATTCCTGAGACTCAAAACAGTCATTAACAGGGCAACAGTCTAGCATCTACAAACCCAAAATAAAAAAAAATAAATCACAACAGTAATATTTATAACTAAACTTTGCAAAAAGAGTAAGGAAATTTGGGTTTGGTTGATTATTTCTGTGTTGCAACGATGCTTGGTAATAAATCTTACACCGAGGGAATGCCTGTTTATTTCCTGTTAAATGGTGCCACATTTGTAATGAAAATACATCTGTGGGTTGAGCAGCAGATTTAAGCATGTGGGTTATGTGCATTAAAAACATTCTCTACCACAGAGATGATTAATTCTGCTATTGCTCTTGTTTTGAGCTTCTGACACCATGACTGCCCTTCACCATCAGGCCCCTTTGCACCAGTGTCTGCAACATGTGCGGTGGGACCTAAACATGTGGAGGACCGTTATGTCCAGATTGTTGCTCTGAGAGGGTAACAGCATTTGCTGTTGGCATCTCCCTCACAGGAAAAACAAGGCTTGTCATCACTGCAGGCAAGGTCGATGCAGAGAGATTTCGAGATGGGATTTTGCAGCCAATGGCCATCTCTCTACAGTCTGAGACTGAACTCTATTCTCTAAGATGACAATCCCCCCACCCCCACAGAGAAGGGTTTATCAGAGACTACCTCCAGATTTTGGGAGTGGAGAGGATGAAATGGCTCACCTGCCGTCCTGACCTTACCCCTGATCCCAAAAACCTGTAAGTGGCATGCTTGCGGGATCAGCTTGGGCCATAATGACCAACATAACATTGGCTGATTTGGGACAAATGCTGATTGAAGAACAGGATGCCATCCCAAAGTAGTGTGTGACCAAACTGGAGACTAGCATGAGGAGGAGGGTGCCAGGTCGTTGGGGTTGTATTAAACAATTAAATTACCAGTATGTTTTGTTTCTTCAGACTTAAATAATCTAATCCATTAAATTACACCAAACTAGAGTCAATATCATAGATGTTTGGCATTGGCAGGGAAGATTCGTCAAGTTTTTCATGGGCTCAACTCTGCTGCTTGACTGACAAATGCATAAGATATAAGAATACAAGGTTTATTGCCTGGAAGCATTGTTACAACAAAGAAGTAATCAACCAAACACAAATTTCCCTACTTTTTTATGCTACTTTACTTCCACTAAGCATCACAGTATTGCACAGTATGTAGCACTTTAAATACCCACTAACACCAGGTTTTTTTCTGTCAGTCTTAACACTTTCCCATCATTATCCTTCCCACCTTCTCTGACCTGCCATGCACAGATGTTATGAGCTCAGGTGCAGGAACACATGTTACATTCAGCTTTTCTTTCTTTAATCCTGAGAAGGTTCATCCTGAAACTCTGGATGATGGCGTGGTTATAAACATCCTGGTGCTTCCAGAGAGTGTAAGTGGCAACCGCTTTTCCTAATCACAGTTTAAAGCTCCAAAAGGCTACAGGTTTACTCTATAATTAAACCAGTTCCTGTTTATGAGACTGTTTTCTTGTGAGTTTCACAAAACGTGATCTGACTGCACTTAAAAAAAAAGTTTTTGGGTAATGACATCATCTGTGAGCTAAAGATACTCAGAGAGCTTCATCGCCTTTGTGATCTGAGTGCCTCTCTGGGCTGGGCTGAGGGTCTGAGTGCTCGTGGTGATCAAAATTGTGGGCAGAGTCATGCTCGTGGTCGTGATGCGACTCCAGTTCGTGGTCGGCGTGCCGTACCTCCTCATCTTTCTCTCTGATGAGCTTTTCCGTCTCGGTCTCGGCCACTCCAGGCACCACTGGGATGGGGAAGTCTGTGCCGCTCTCCCGGGTTAGCTTACTGCAAAGAGACACACGTTTTGGAAAAGTTCACAGAGTTTACTACAAAGAGAGAACACAGACCAATGTAAATAAGCCTGTGGTGTCTAATCAGCTGCCGACAAACATTGTTAAGACACTACACCAGACACTTCAGAGCAAACCCATCAAATACCTCAAGAATATATGAAGGTCACACGGTTTTTAATCACATTCTCCTTCTCAAAACAACAATATTCTAACATTGTTATAATTCATATCTTCATCTTGATTTTTCTTGTGCCATATTTCTTTCATCTCACTAAAACTTATTTCTCCCGTCCTTCAGCGTGAGCATACTTGCGGTTGCGCTCCTTGACGACCATGCGGGTCATGCTCTGGATGCACTGAGCTCTGTAGTTCTCGTAGTGAGTCTCTCGGGTCACGTCCTTGAGATCTTGCATGTGCGTGCGAACGAGCATGTTCCTCAGCTTCACGAAATCACAGTGTGCTGGGTTTTCCACTGCAGACCACAGAGTGAGGGATCAACTACACACTCAATACTTATGCACGTTCACTGTCGACTTTTGTAATGGTACATCTATACAGAAAGCATGTTAGTATGTATGATTTTGAGGTCTTTGTTTAGGGGAACATGTGAGGTCAAGGTTACCTTCTACAATACCCCAGGGGTACAGACGGCCTCGCACCCTCTTCCCTTTGGCCTCCACCACGGTGTTGCTGCCTATTACTGCAAAGGGGATGCTTTCCTAAAGGGGTCAAGATAAAGATCGTAATATTAAAAGCATGTTATGGTCATAAAGATCACATCTGGCTGGGCAGGATGTGAACACATCTGTATTAAAAAAACAAAAAAAACCAGACCAGTTATATCCCTTTCCTCTTAAATGTCTTCGTCCTTTCTTGTGTAAGACCTTTTTCCCCCCTTTTAAACCTGATCTTTAATCCAACAGGAGGTAAAATTCCTCATTTTAAACCTGAAAGCTATTGATTTGATTGTAATCATACTGACATGACTGTAGCATATGTAGTCGACTGGACCATGAACTTAAGATATAGCTTTGCATTAACTTTCCCTAGAGCACTGTGAGTGTATAGGGCAGTATAGGGCATAGATAAATATGATATCAATAGATATATTATATGTTTTTAAGATTTTCCTCATGTCACATACTTACATGTCAAAATGTGACATCTAACAAATTTGTTACATTATTGCTGTTCCAGTAAATAAACCAGTATTTAGATCTTTATCATAGCGTTAGAATGAAACGCTGTGTTGATATGATAAATTAAATTACATGTAGTAATAAAATTATTAAAGACGTGTCACATGGTCAAACAAGCGCTGCAGGCCTGGCAAAACCAGCCTGTATGACACAGAATATATATCCTATACTTACTAAAATTAAAATATATGATATGCATAATAATTAAGAAGTAATTCTGATTTTCTTGATAGTTATTGTTTATTGACCAAAGTAAAGACCTGTGTGTTGAGCAGGGGTTTTGCTAGTAGTGATAACTTTTGCTTTTATTTCCACCGACTGTGTGCTTAGTACCACCTTACAATACGGGAAGTGTAGAGGAGGCTGATTCATCAACACTTAAATCCACCAGGTCTGACTACATAGTCTGTCCATTCATTTTAATGTCAATTCTTATTAATATTAAATTTGTTTGCAGCATAATTTGTTTTGAATGACAATGATTTGTCTTGACTCTCGGCATTCTGCTTTCAGCTGAGTTTAGTGTACTAAACACAAAATACTTGGATGAAGAAAAGAAAGAAAGGAGATCACTGATCACCTTCAGCTCATGGTCTTGTTGCTTGAAATCTTCATCTTCATCAGAGTCGCAGTCAGGGAACTGGTATATCTTTATACCGTACTGCTCAATCTCCTCTCTGATCTGCAAAGAAAAACAGTGGAAAAACATGTCTGATGTCAAAGTGTGAATAACGTCCTCTGTGAGGATACAAGTAAAACACTCTGCGGCGTATTCACAGATTGATTCGTGGGATGAAACATGCAGTCGCCTTGCCTTAATTTTCTTTTTCTTCACTTCACCAGGGGTGAGTGTGTCTGCTTTGGCCAAGACTGGGACAATGTTGACTTTCTCATGGAGAGCCTTCATAAATTCCACATCCAGAGGTCGGAGGCTGGAAGAGATGAGGCAAAACATACCAAGAAAGGATAATGAGACACTTATTATTTATTAGGATAGTGTAGTGTAGACAAGAGAGTGGGCATTTTCGAAAAAGGTGAGTCACCTGAAAGCAGGCCACTGCAATAAGGACTACAGCTTTCAGCACATGAACGCAAACTTTATTTTAGGGGGTTCTCTGAGTTTTTATTGCCAGGTCGGTGTTTGTAGAGTGTAGAGTTTCTTCAGAGAATGATGGTTTGCGCACGTTTATCGCTAACCATTAGTGAGGCTGGAGTTACATTCCTGGGCAAAAAGTTATCAATCAGTGTCAGGAAGGTTTAGTTTGCTAATGATGACTAATTGAAGAAAAATACTTCCCGAGTCACATTCTGGGGCTGCCCTATCATGGTTTAACATAAACTGTGGCTGAATGAAATATACAAGCCATGCGCTTTTTCCATGTTGCCTTCACAGGCCACAGAAGACTTCAAAAAGGGCCACCACTGATGATTTACTGTTAGACAAGTTTAAACTGGGGTTGATAATCATTAACTGTTAGATCATTTTGTGCCAAAAAACTCCATTTAGATTTGAAAGCGTTTCATAAATGCTCATGAATTGCTGGCAATCAGGATCAGGCAACAGATTTACCTGGCGATCCACATCTAGATTTCTCCACTCTAAGCTTTCCTGCATCAAGTCTTATCTGTAGTTCAAAATTAAAGGAAGTAGGGGTGCTAGTTTATCTCAGAGATTTAGCATGTGACCACATGCCATATAGCTGAAATGCATCAGTCTGGGTTGGAGTCCTTCCCCTCCTCTCTCTCCTTTTCCCCCCCATCTAATGCTGCACTATCAAATGACGGCAAAAATGTACCACCCTCCTCCCCCCCAAAAAACTTGAAGCATAAGATGATGTCTCTGGCTGCATGGCACACTGGCCGACCAATCAGTGGCAGCAGACATTTGCTCACCAACAGAGGGAGCCGTTTCTCCATGGCTGTCACGCTGAAAATGCTCTGCAGCATTACTTGAATTTTATGGTATTCTGGCTCCTTGATGAACACAGATCTGGATGCGCACAAATGTGCTGAGAGGTGCCACAACAGCACACAGCACAAACAATTGATTAGTGTGAATTCACTGCATTAGATGTAAAGTTATCCAAGGGCAGCTGAGAGTTGCTTTATCTCTGGGAAAGATGCTGGGCATCAACAATTTAAGAGGCTGAACACATTGTGAGTAAACACCAATCCACTAGATATGTGTGGAAGATATCACGTGTGCGCTCAGGACGATGGTTGCGATAAACATGTGATCAGAGATCACGAGGAAAAGTGTAGTTAATGGTCCCATTATCATTTCTGAACATTGCACGTGATAATGTGCTGCAGCAGAAACAACTTAATCTTCCATATTTTTAGAAGTAATAATAAAGAGAGGACGAGCAGGCTGAGTTAGCTGTAGCTTTGTCATACCCGTGACCGAAGGGTGAGATGAAATAGAGGCAGCAGTGTACGCGGTTGTCCTGGATGTTCTTGCGATTGAGGCCACTCTCATCCCTGAAGTACTGCTCGAACTGCTGGTCAATGTAGTCAGCCACTGACTTCCAGCTAAAGCAGAAACACACAGGGGCGTTCAGTCTCTGAGGCAAAGTGTAACAGCTGACCGTGTAACTCAGATTCACTCAGGGTTATCTGATGCGTTAAACATGTCTGTACCATTCAGTGTTGTTCACAGCGTCCCCAAACCCAGGGGTATCCACAATGGTGAGTTTCAATTTGACACCTTTCTCCTCTATATCCACCGTGTGTTTGGTGATTTCTACCGTTTGTGTGATTCTCTCTAGGATAGAAAAAAGAAGTAAACAGCCCTCAGCCATTACATAATGTAGTACAGCAAATTTTAAAACAAATAATCACACGCACCTTCTGCATTGAGCAGCTTCCTATCTTTGTACAGATCTGTGAGAAACAGACTGTTGACCAGGGTGGACTTTCCCAGGCCAGATTCACCTTCAAACAAAGAACAACAAAGAAGAAAAGACCGTCTTTTTAAAACAAACACGGTCTTAAGATCAAATAGCAGCTAATGCTAAAACGAGGATTTACCTGCTACCATGAGCGTGAAGTCAAATCCTTTCTTGACAGACTTGCGGTGCACCTGGTTTGGCAGCGTTGCGAAACCCACGTACTCCTTGTCTTGGTCCTACAAATGCACAAAAAGATAAAAATGGAATAAGGAAGAGGCTGTGTACACCATGGTTTCTTTTTTCAAACTCTTTTTGAAATATTTTGGCATTGTTGTCCCATTTGCAGTATTTCGACGGCAATAACAGCAACAGCACAAACCAAAACAAACAAACAAAACAAGAACAACAAAAGGGGGGAAAAAAGCAATATGCCCAAATAAAAAGGCAGATTTGCAACCATGGAAAATACCAATGTATTAATTTTAGACTGTAAAACATGGTATGAAGGGTATCAGCATGTTACAGCACATGGGCTGTGCTGACCCCTTTTTGGGGCTTCCTGACCGTGACGCCTTGTATTACCTCGCTACTGTCGTATGGGTCAAATCGAACCCACGGGCTCTTTGGCCTGGAGGGACTGACGGGGGACGACAAGTCAAACTCCACGCTTCGGCTTTGTGGCAAACCGGAGTCTGAACCCGAATCTGACTGGGCCCTGCCGGCCACGGGGGGCCGCAAATATGACGGGGTGTGGGGGCGGTCATTGCCCTCGGCCTGCCTGTCCGCATCATGAGCCTCGGGGTCATGATGGTGGTGATGCTTGTGATGGTGGAGACCGTGCCCACCATGATGCTGAGGGTCCTGCATAATGTTTTCCACTTCTGAGTCATCGGAATGGCTTGAGGGCTGGAGAGAAGCGAAGGTCGTGGGGGGGCGGGAGGGATGACGAGGCAAACAGGAAAAAAAAAAAAGGAACGGTAGAGCACCAATGTAGAGGGGGAGGTATGGAGATCCAGAGGGTAGAAAGTTTTAGAAAATCAACTTAAAGTTTTATGGTGAGGAATTTAAGACACAGCAACAAAGAGATCTTTCATATCTGACAACTCAAAACTGTTAGTATACCCAGCTGAAGGCCAGTGGGTAACACATGACATTTCTACAGTAATGTGGATGAGCCTTTAACTATTCATTGGAAACAGGATACATGTTAGGGGCTTTACAGCTGGTGGATCAGCTTCTATTATAAATGAAGAGAAGTCATGTTAGAGCTGAACACTGCAGCCAAGTTGTTTTATGAAACTAACAATGAATGAACTCCAATACTGTGTTTATATTTACTCTCCTTTAAGAGTGATCGGTAACATTAAAGACAAGGACTGTTTTAGACATCAGATATTTTACTCTTCATTAAAAATGCAAACTTTAAAAGTGTAAATTTTCTGTAAGAGGACACGCAGCTATGGACTCTAGTTAGAGTTACTAAAGTCTCCCTGATAGATAAATAATGGAGTGGAATTCGGCAAGCAACACGGCCACTCAAATTCAGCTGTGAGCACACACTGTGGCACAGTTTTAAATTTAAATTTAGACCCTAAAGAGATAAATTGCTTAAGCGCATAAAAACTACAGACGGCAGAAATCAGCTGAAGATGGGCAGTAACAGAAATTTTTTTTTTTTTTTTTTTGGGGGCGGGGGGCATCACCGATACCTGTTCATGGCGATCATGATCATGGTGTCTGCTCTGATTAGGGGAAGCTGGACAGGAGTCTTGTTCATCTGATGAAGAGGAATGCTCATGGTCACTGTCCTCCATTGCAACTGGGGCTAAAGCGCACTCTGTGATCTTGAATCCGAAGGGCGCATGCGTGTGGTGAGGTTTATCGGGGAAAAGAACAACAGGGAGGTTGAAGAAGAGGATGGAGAAGGGCCAACAAAGAGCCTCGCAGAGCCACGCATGAACCACAAGGAGGACATGAGGAGTACAGGTAAGATGAATAAAGACGAGGAAGAAGACGACAAAAAAATTAAAAAAGCTAATGAATAAAAGAACATACCATTTACAGCAGAAATGGTATGATGTATGTAATAATATAACAAGGGACTGAATATTAGATATATGCTATAAATTAATATGCATCTGTATACATTTGATTGCAAAATCAAAACATATATAGGATAAGCTAAACAGGGGCAGGAATTAATAAGCATTTGCTTCCTCCTTAGTAATTTTTTTCCAAACAGGAATTGCTCAATATTTTCAACATATCTTTCTTTGATATCATGTTCATTCATTTTTTAATATGTATTAACTCTCGTTATGCGTTTCAAAATAAAGATTTGATACAGATTCAGGCTATGTTCACTCCTCTTGTTCTGGTGCCATTTTCCTATTCATGCTCCCAGCTACAGTTACTATTTCAAAAGCTAACTACAAGTTTGACAGCAAGTAACTTCTGTGCCAATTTCTTTCCAGTTTAATTTTGATAAAAAAGCTTAGCTTGTAATCTTTTTGGTGTTTCCACATGGTTAGGTGCTCCACCTGTGACCTATAGCTCTAATATGATTGGGATTTAGAGCTTAAGGGCAGAGGAAACAGTGATAGTTTCACCGATTGAAATCGGGAAATCTGTGACCTGCTTTCCTGATGCACAACCAAAGCCCTAAGATCAATGTCCAGCATGGTGGGTTCTGTGTCCTACATAAAATTAAGTGTCAATCACCAACATTTTGCTTTGGATTACAAATCCACAGAAGTGCATCAAACAGACTCCCACTACTTTTTTTTTTGCTTAAATATGAAAAAAGCTTCAAAGCAACTTTTAGATGTATCATCTGGAATATCACACTAAAACAACTCAAGTGACTACAGGAATAAAAATCAAAGGACAAACTAATTATCAAACATATTCTCAGTAAAGTGGATAAAAGCACGTTCACCCGTTCTCACCTCCTTTCTTTCGATGCCTCACCTGTGTCTAAAACCCTCTTCCTTTTACTTCTTAAAAACTGCTCCTCGTACAAAGTCCAGCAGGAATCGGAAAGCAAAGAGCAGCGGCTCCAGCATTTATACAACTCCACACTAGAGGACACGGCGCCCTTCAGCTCCATTGAGCTGGTCGGCACCCCGGGGAGCTGATCAGTGGCATTGATGAGGTGCACGTCAGCGCTCACAGGCAACACCAACCCAGACATAGACTACATCCATCAAATCTACTTAACTTTGGGGCTGCACAGCTCCATGTCGTGCACAATTATACACAAACTGTGAGTTTGACATCTTCTGCTGTTTCACCGTTTTGTCTGACAATTCACATTGACACCAGCAAACAGCCTAATCTGATGAGTTGGACCTGATAACAAAGCAAAAAGATAAGGAAACACTGATAGCAGCATTAGAGCAGAAAACATGATGCTACTTTGTCACTGTGTTGTACAGTGTGTGGACTGATGTTATAACATGAAGACAAATACTGTACATATTTTGCAGGGCCCATTCTTAACCTTTGCCACTCACAGCTAATGTCTGCACTCCATAAGCCTACAATGACAGTTCCTGTGACAATAAAATATGTCAAGAGCAGAAGTATCCTCACAAAAGACTTACAGAAACTGCTCAGAGTTTGCAGTGTGACATCAAATTCAATTCTAATAATGATCGGTTCAGCCAGAGAGGATCTGAGGCCAAATTTCCTCTCATTCTGTTTGGGAGCTCGAGTACTAAAGGAGGTGACTAAAGTCAGATATTTAGGTTACATCATCAGGAACAATCACTGTGATGATAATTAGAGCCTGACTGCTATTGATACCAAAACCAATCTCCACATTTGGTGATTTTAAAAACAGGATAAACTCATATACTGATGTGCAATGCTGATATACTACCCCAAATGTGTATATTGTACAGCTGGTGTTAAAATCGGTCCTAGTGGTGTATTTAGACTAAAACTAAAATGAAAAAGAATAATGACTTTAACTAAAAGCCCAGAAGGCTCTGCAGAGGACCATCACCACCTGATTGTCAGCCTGGCTATCGCTGACCATGTGAGTTGTCTACTTAGAGGTAGGACTGTAGAACTATACAACATCCACAGACACACATATACTCTGCACATATTCAAAGAGACATCAGGGCCTCAAATGCTCTTCTTTCTCTCCCTTAAAAATTTCAGAATGCAGAAAATGACTGACTTAAAGAACAGCTTGGAATAAAGAGTATCACAAAGGTAACCACCAAATGTTTCCTCCAGATCACACGAGGTGAAGTCGAGCTGCTTACTGCCTCATTATAAACATAACTGCCGGCAATGCTGATGAATTCACTAATTAAGCTAACAAATGAATTAATTATAAACTATTTATCTGCCAAGGCACTTGTCTTCACGTACCACATTAAGCATTTAGGAGAACTCCTCATTTATAAGCAAATTTATTCAGCAACTTGCTCCCAGTTTCAAACTCTGCAGTTTGCATCGTCTTTACAGGAGACATCATCGTGTCTGGGAATCACACAGTTACTGTACACATTTCCTATTCCTTTTCTGTTGTATGCACATATTTCAGAAACTTACATGTTACCTTTTTGTGTAGTGTGTTTGTGTCTTCATTCCTTTCTACTTTTGTAGCATTCCTGAAGTTGACCCCAACTTCAGAGCTTGGTTACAGATTTCTTCTCTAAGCCAAACATACTCTCAGTTTACTCCATCTTTAAAAGCAGCCGAGATAGCAGGCATTACTGAATGCAGGTAGGGGATTTGTCTTCCTCTAAGCACTAAAGCAGCTTTGTACAGCAAACTGATGAGGTTCAAACAGGTTCAAATTCTTCCTCTCACACCAAAGCAGCCATCAGGCCATTGCTCCGCTGTGTTCTGGGCCCTGATATTTAAGAATTTAGAGCCGAAAAGGTCTTAAGAAAGGAATGCCACAGGAAATTGTGTTTGGGGTTTTTTTTTCTTTCCATTTTTTAATATACCTAAGGAAACATTCATTTTCTCTTTTATTCAGCTGGAAGAAAAAACACAGCTCAGACGATTAGTCAAGCACAATTACAACTATTCTGTGTTCCTAGTATGCATAAAGTAGGAAAAGGGATATTGGGGAATTATTAAGGCAGAGTTCAACATAGGCGAGACATTTAGGCTGATTTTACTGGAGTTCCATTTTCCACATGCAAACATTTCCACTAACTTTAAAAAAAACATTCAAGTATCTCCTGACACATTAATCTTGGGCTTAAAT